GCTGCTGCCTGACTGGGTTCTGGAGATGGCAAGGTAGTCCGAGCCAGTCTAGGCTCCACTTCTCCTTTATCCTTGCCCTTACGGATGCCCAGGAAGCGCCCCCTTCTCACGGGTTTCTTATGCCTTTTGGCTGGTACTGGCAATGGAGATTGGTGCTGAGAGAAATTCAGTGCCAGGGAGGCACTTCTCGTCAATGCCGAGGTACTCGGTACCGAGTCCGAATGTGCCAGCTCCAAGGCTGGTGCCAGTGCTGACTCCATGAGGAGCATGTGCAGACTAATGTCTCTTTCTTGCTTGGTCTGGGGCTTGAATCCCTTGCAAATGCGACACTTTTCGTGAATGTGGGATTCACCCAGACACTTTAAACAGCTTATTTGTGGATCGCTGATTGGCATGGGCTTCTTACAGCGATTGCAAGGCTTAAAGCCCAAGGAGCAGGGCATGCCCCATCTCTGGGCTAAGTCCCTCAGAGGACTAGCTATCATTAAGGTACAGAAGATTTGAAGCGTCAGTTATTGGTCATTGGGGGTAACATACAGAGCATAGGGGGATGCTAGTATTTTACTAAACTATTGAGAACTGCTAACTATCAGCTAACTACAACTATTTACAAAGAAAATAGGTCAAAGAACCACTGAAAGGAAACCACTTGCTAGAGCAAGGGGAGTGTTCCAGCACCAACACTGGCGGTAAGAAGGAACTGAGGGAGGGGGCCAGCAGCACCCTTATACCAGCGCATATGCATGCCACTCCAGAGGGCGCCAGAGCCGGACCCCTATGGATACCACTGAGGGTAAAAACTTCCGGCACCAGTGCAGTGGCGAGCACACATTCCTACAATGGAATGGACATGAGCAAGCACTCGAAGAAGAACTAGTATTTTCTTACACCTGCAGTACCACCTGCAAGTGGATTCTTATCTGAGCAGATTGGTTGCCAGCTTCTATAGTGCCTGTGTTTCTCACTTTCACAGAACCTCAGACTCACCTTCTCTTGGGTTACCTGCCTCTCTCACTCTTCTTCTCTTTGCTGAGACCCAAAGTCTACTACCCCCAGCAAGGCAATCAGAGTTACCTCTGAGGACAGAGGAAGAAGTATGGGCTGGGAGTCCAAAGGTGGCTGCTGTTACCTTAAACTGGCCCTGCCTGCACTGTCTTTCTCTTTCTCTGCCCTACAACTGTGCCACTGGATCTGGAACGGCTGGAAAAAGATTTGGATCTGGCGAATATAAGCTGGGGGCCAACTTCCAAAGGACCTGGAAAATGGAAAAGATGGCTTAGCTTGGGCTGTCCCTCCCTCCTTCTGCACAGAAGCCTCCCCACTACTTTACCCTCACATCCCTTATGCTAACAACCATCAGAAGGCAGCAATAGCCCAGTGGGTATGTCTGGAACAACAGGGACCCAAACAGCTTTTCCATGTGTCTCTGTTTATGGTAGTGTGACTGCAGACCCATCCTGCCCCAAGGGATTACAACATACCCAGAGATATACATTGGGACAGACACGTGAAAGAGACTTAGAGCCTCTGTTTTAAATCTTGGTCCCAATATCGTCAATGGGAGTTTTTTACATTGACTTCCATTGAGCCAGGATTTCACCCTCTGTATGTGGGTGTCTGGCTGGCCTTCTCAGACAAGTGTGCCTCTTTCACACCATCTACAGCCGAGCAGTAGAGAATGAGGGAGATGCAGCTCTAAACCTTGCATAGATACTACCACATAATCAAATGGGCAGAAGGATCTCTCCACTGGCTTCTTTGATAGCCTTTCCCAACTCAAAAGTCAGTCAAAGCCCTGCCCACTAGGGAGCAGGACCAATCCCAGGGTGCTCCATGAGTTTGTCCAAATAATACTCTCCTGAACCTATTTGTCCCAGTGGATGTGGTTGTGCTGCTTCCCAATTCACTACCCTGAAGGTTGCCATGTCAGGACCTAATAAACTGAGTTTGAATGGGCCAAGCAGAGAGTGAATGCTCCTTCTGACACTTCAGAATCCATATGGAACTTTCAGGCTGAGAGACGTAAGGGAGGGTATTTTGCCTGCATCCTCCCTTGCTGACCCTGGGGCTGTGCATGGAACTGCCCTGTTTAATCTCTTGCCTTTCCAGGTTACTATCCATTCTACTTCTAGGACGAGTCCCTCAGAACAACCTCCCTTCTCTTTTGCCCAAAGTCATGCCATGTTGTATCTGACCTAGACTGCATGCTCCTCAGGGCAGGGCCCATGTCTCCAATCTCTTTAGTCAGTGCCAGGCACATGTAGGGCACTACTCATAAGTGAAATGATAACCAAACCTTATGATGAGAGAAACAAGGGCTACAGAACAAAGAAGGTACTGGGTTGCAGAGGGAGAGGAGGAAAAATGGCTTAGTCCCTCAGGCACCTGGAAAAGGGGGGCCTAAAGTTGAACTGGGCAAAGTATCTTCCCCTCACATTTCCAAGAGCAACGATCACTTCTCTCCAGTTATTCTGCTCACTGAAATAGCACACACTACTCTTGGAGCTGTAACACCTTTCTTCCGGGGCAAGGAGAAGGCTTTAAGTGGCTTACCCAGCAAGTCATGCTTCCATTAGCCCTCCCTCAAGCTCTGTTGCTCGAGCTTATCCAACAGGCTCTGGCCTAAATTCTTCATTTCAGATTCAGAGAGGCCGGTTTGCCCTGGGTCAGCTAGCCACATCCTGCAGGAGAGGACTAAGATTTCTACCTCATGTGTTCACTTCAACTTGAACACTCCCAGTACGAATGGTTACATCCCTCCCTTAAAGGGAATCTCACAATTACCAAGGGATCCATACTATCTAGCTTACATTTCCTACAGTTCTAGACTGTTGCTATCTATTGTCCTTCTACTGACAATTCCCCTCACACGTGCTCTGCATTAATTCCGGGAAGATGCTCACAGAAATAGGGAGGGGTTGCTGCCTGCAGTTACAGTAGACACGTACAGGATCAACAGAAGGAGATACTTTCAGCAGTGGCCAGAGGGGAGTCGGAGAATACATTGCAGGTAGAGGGTTTGCTTCCTGCAAGGCTGAAGACTGTAGGGTGGCAATGGCGGGAGCTCTGGAGGGAGCAACCGAGAGAAGAACAGTGCTCAACAGACTGGCATGTTCATGCAGGATCGCATAAATCAGTTTGGTCAGATCATAGGCACTGAGTTTTCTTTTTCCCTAGGGGTGCACCACCCGCACTTTGCCCCAAGACCCCGCCCCCACTCCACCCTCCCCTGAGGCCCCACCCTCACCCCGCCTCTTCCTGCCCCCACTCCGCCCCTCCCTCAAGGCTCCACCCTCACTCCTCCTCTTTCTGCCCCTGCTCTGCCCCTCCCGAGGCTCCGCCCTCGCTCTGCCTCTTCCCACCCTTGCTCCAACCCTCCCCCGAGGCCCTGCTTGCCCACCGCTCGCTGCTTTCCACCCTCCCGCAAGTGTCTCCCTCAGCCGCTTCAACAGCTGATTGGTGGCAGCTGCCCGAACAGCTGTGGCTAGTGGGTGCTAAGTACCCACTATTTTTTTCCCTTGGGTCAGATCTTGAGGACTGGGCTTTTAATCTGTAGTCCTATATATATCACGGCCCCAATACTCTGCAGCAAACGAGTCTTGAATTGTGCAAACTAGAACAGGGGTTCTCAAACTGGGGGTCGGGACCCCTCAGGGGGTTGTGAGGTTATTACATGGGGTCGCGAGCTGTCAGCCTCCACCTCAAACCCCGCTTTGCATCCAGCATTTATAATGGTGTTAAATATATTTAAAAGTGTTTTTAATTTATAAGGGGGGTTGCACTCAGAGGCTTGCTATGTGAAAGGGGTCACCAGTACAAAAGTTTGAGAACTACTGAACTAGAAATTCTGCAGCAACCACATATACATTAAAATAGAGAAACTGTGTTATTTATTTTCATGTTGAATCCCATTTTACGCTGTCCCCACCCACATTATCAGGTCTGAGAGGGCTGCAGATTTTTCTGTTAACTGTTGTAAAAACTGTTGGTAGTAAAGCTGGAGGTTTTGGCAGGTGGTAAAGCGTGGGAGGCAGTTTGGAATTGTACAAGAATTGCATTAGCTGGATGTTTTTGCTAAAGGATCAGCAATGAAATTGTTAATGTTAATATCGGAAATGTCATCCTTAAATTTCAGAGCTAACCCCCCACTAGAGATGAATGGGGCAGGTCACTTCTTTTTGAGCTATTGTTTCAGACTGTGCAGACTCAGGCAAAAATCACTGCATCAGAGACACTCAGGTCATATTCTCATGGTTTTCTCAGCAACCATAAGGGCTAAAAATATAATTTTTTAAAAATTAAAGCTCAGATTCTGGAGCTCAATTCTGCTGCAAATTCCATGGCTGCAGCATCACAGAATACACAGGGCCTTGGCAATAACATCACATACAGTTTTGGTTCATCTAAACCAACAACATATCTGTTCTGCAGACACTTTTGAAGCAATGGAAAAAGATCAGGTTCTTGTTCCCTAGACACCAGTCCCAGATGAACCTCTTTGAATTAAGCAGTCATGAACCAGAGAAGTAAGAAAATTAGAGAAGACAAATCCATAGGACATACCTAGAGTAACCCTTTCTGGACAGAGAGGCTTTATTGCAAGACAGAAAAGTAAAAGTAAAAAATGCCCTGGCCTTTTAAAGGCCAAACAGAAACAGCAGAGTGTCCCCTTTGCCAAAGCTAAAAGCAAAGGTGGCTCAATTTAGCCAAGCTCTCCTTTCAACCATATTTCTAGGGATCCTTCATCTCCAATTCTCCTTGCCAGACTCAGCCCCAGCTCCCCCTCGGTAAGTCCTTCTTACGGTGTCCCAGGAGGAATTAATTCCACCCTCAGATGGCCCCAGGGCTGCTACTTGCAAACCATTGCACTCAGGGTAAGAAACTGTGTCTTTTTCTCTAGCCAGAGGGTTGGCCCCTTCCCTGCCAACTCCTGGAGATCAACACAGTCCATCATTCCATTCCTTTACCCTTCTCTCCTTGTCTGTGGGACCTGCACTCACCTGTGGATTTTGTGCCTGGCTCACAGGATGCTGCACTGCTAAGGCTGTTCTGGAATCCATTCAGCTGCCCTTCTGTAGAAGTTACCCTGGCAGGTAAAAGCACTGGATTAGAATGAGATCAGCATGGAAAGGCCAGGCCAGTGAGAGACACTAAGTCATATAGGCCACTGGGGCTCAGAGATGGGAGCCACAAAACACTACCTGAACGTGGAAATAAATGGGCAGTGCAAGCAGGAAGCTCAAAAAAGGTAGAAGGGAGATAAGTGAGCCCACCGGCACCTGCAAGAGCCACTCCGTCTATATGCCTCAAACAGCTGTTTGTCCTGAGTGCCCCTGTGCCTGGCTCTGAGAGAAGTAGATGGGAAGTGAAGGAAAAAGCATTTGGTTCTGAGCTGCCAAGTCACAAAACACACTTAATACTACCATGGGTCCATACTGCTCAGTGCTCTGAAGCAGAAAAGAAAAAACAGTTACTCACCTTCTTGTAATTGTTGCTCTTCGAGATGTGTTGTTCACGTCCATTCCAATCAGGTGTGTGCGCGCCATGTGCACGGTCGTCGGAAACTTTTCCCTTAGCAGCTCCCATCGGGTTGGCTAGGGAGCCCCCTGGAGTGGCGCCTTCATGGTGCTCAATATATGACCCTGCCGATCTGACTCCCCCTTCAGTTCCTTCTTGCCGCCTACTCCGACAGAGGGGAAGGAGGGAGGGTATTGGAATGGACATGAACACCACATCTCAAAGAACAATACTTACAAGAAGGTGAGTAACCATTTTTTCTTCTTTGAGTGTTTGTTCACATTGATTCCAATCAGGTGACTCCCAAGCTCTCCCCTGGAGGTGGGGTTGGAGTTAAGGAACCACTGATTGGAGAACTGCCCTGCCAAAAGCTGCGTCCTCTCTGGCATGCTGTGTGATGGCATAGTGAGTAGTAAACATGTGCATGGATGACCAGGTCGCCATTCTGCAGATCTCCTGGATGAGCACCTGGGCCAGGAAAGCTGTGGATGAGGCTTGAGCCCACGTCAAGTGTGCTGTAATAGGTGGAGCTGGAACCTTGGCGAAGTCGTAGCAAGTACGGATGCAGTCCATGATCCATGACGAAATGTGCTGTGAGGAGACTGGAAGCCATTTCATCCGATCTGTCACTGCTATGAACAGTTGATTCGATTTCCTGAAAGGTTTCGTGCACTCAATGTAGAATGCTAGCGCTCTCCGGATGTCTAGCGAATGAAGTCTCTGCTCCCGCGAATTGACATGCGGCTTGGGATAGAAGACTGGTAGAAAAATGTCTTGTCCAATGTGGAATTGAGATACTACCTTGGGCAAGAAGACTGGGTGAGGTCTGAGCTGCACCTTGTCCTTATGGAAGACCGTGGGGGGTGGAGGTCAGTGCTTTTAACTCGGACACCCTCCTGGCTGAAGTGATGGCAACCAGGAACGCTACCTTCCACGAGAGATACAGAAGGGAGCATGTAGCCAGTGGTTCAAACGGGGCTCCCATTAGTCTGGAGAGAACCAGACTGAGATCAAGTGGGTATAGGTGGTCGAGAATGTGGGTATAGTATTTCCAAACCCTTTAGGAAACAGCCCACCATGGAATACAGAGCACCCCGACTTTCCCGGGTGAAACACCGAGATGGCTGCAAGGTGTACCCTGATGGATGATCCTGCCAACCTTTGCTGTTTCAGATGTAGTAGGTATTCCAGGATGAGTGGTATAGATGTCTGAAGCGGAGATGTGTAACGCTGCTCACACCAGCACAAGAAGCTTTTCCACTTAGCTAGATAAGTGGCCCTAGTGGTAGGTTTCCTGCTACCAAGCAACACCTCCTTCATCGAATCTGAGCATTGGAGATCCGTTGGGTTTAACTATGAAGCTTCCAAGCCATGAGACGAAGGGATTGGAGGTCTGGGTGAAGGAGGCGACCTTGGTCTTGTGTAATCAGATCTGGATAAAGTGGTAGTGCTATCGGGGTGTCCACCGACATCTCCAGAAGCATGGAGGACCAATGTTGTCGTGGGCATGTCGGGGCCAGCATGATCACGTCTGCTCTGTCTCTGCGGATCTTGAGCATCACCTTGTGAACGAGTGGGACCGGTGGGAAGGCGTACATGAGGTGGTCCCCCCAAGGTAGCAGGAATGCGTCCGAGATGGAGCCCGGACTGTGTTTCTGGAAGGAGCAGAATGTTGGACACTTCCTGTTGCTCCTGGTGGTGAATAGGTCCACCTGGGGAAAACCCCACCTTTGGAAGATGGAATGTGAGACGTCCAGACGGACTGACCACTCGTGGTTGAGAAACAACCTGTTGAGACAGTCTGCAATCTCGTTCTGCAGGCCTGGGAGATCATTTACCTGGAGGCGTCCTGAGTGGGCTATACAGAAATCCCAAAGCTGGAGAGCTTCATGACAGAAAGGGGAGGAGTGGGCTCTGCCCTCTCTGTTTATGAGAAACGTGGCGGTGGTATTGTTGGTCAACACCCCCACGCACTGACCTTGAAGTCTGTCCTTGAAGGTCTGGCAGGCTAGTCTCACCGCTCTGAGCGCTTTTATATTGATGTGGAGCAGGATCTTGGACTGCAACCATCTGCCCTGCATCTGTAGATCTCCAAGGTGGGCCCCCCCAACCCAGGTCTGATGCGTCCATTACCAAAGTCATGGATGGCTGAGGAGCGCTGAACCGAGTCTAGCAGCACTGCCCCAATGAATTCTATTCTTTGGGTTGGTGACAACGTTGACTTGTCCATGCTGAGGAGGAGACCCAATCTCTGGAAGGTATTTGTGACTAACCGGACTTGGGACTCCACCTGCTCCCTGGAACCCCCCCTCAGCAGCCAATCGTCGAGGTAGGGATACACCTGTACCTGCCTCTTTCGGATAAAGGTTGCAACCACCGACATGCACTTGGTGAACACTCAGGGGGCTGTCGATAAATTGAATAGGAGCACCGTGAACTGGTAGTGCTTGTGATCGACCACAAACCTCAGGAAACGTCTGTGGGCCGGATGAATGGCTATGTGGAAGTACGCATCTTTCATGTTGAGGGCGGCGTACCAGTCCCCCGGATCCAGGGAAGGAATGATCGAACTCAGGGAGACCATGCGGAACTTCAATTTTACCATAAACTGGTTGAGTCCTCACAGGTCTAAGATGGGTCTGAGACCCCCCCCTTTGCTTTGGGGATTAGGAAGTAATGGGAGTAGAACCCCTTGCCCCATAGCTCCTGAGGAACCTCCTCCACTGCCCCTAAGGCGAGAAGCAATTGCACCTCCTGTACAAGGAGTTGCTCATGAGAAGGGTCCCTGAAGAGGGATGGGAGAGGGGGCTGGTAGGGTGGGGAGGAGCAGAATTGGAGAGAATATCCCACCTCTACCGTGCGAAGGACCCAACTGTCCGATGTTGTAAGGGACCACGTACAGTAGAAGTGGAATACATTTCAGAAAGCAAGGAGAAGGATCCGGTATGAAGTCTGGCACGCTGTCCTCAGGCGTCCCCTCAAAACCCTTGTTTGGATCCCGACTCTGGCTTAGTCAGGCCCTGGCCCTGGATTGACGACTGGTTAGACGGCCTTCGCCTATTGTTCCTGCCCTTACAGCGGTAAGGGTCCTGACTTGGGTGGGGTTGATATTGCCTCTGCTGCTGCTGGGGTTGAGGTTTGAAAGGTTTTCTCTGGGTAGCAGACGTATGCATCCCCAGAGATTTCATTGTTGCTCTTGAATCTTTGAGGCTATGGAGTCTAGAGTCTGTCTGGTCTGAAAACAGCCCTGCACCATCAAAGGGAAGGTCCTGCAGGGTCTGTTAGACCTTTGGGAGAAGACCTGAAGCCTGGAGCCAGGAGGTTCTCCTCATGACCACCCCTGAGGAGATGGTTCGTGCAGCCGAGTCGGCCGCGTCAAGGGAGGCCTGAAGGGACATCCTGCCACCTCCTTCCCCTCCTCAACCAGCACTGAGAACTCCGCTCTTGACTCCGCAGGGAGCATCTCTTTGTATTTGGACATAGCGTCCCAAGAGTTAAAGTTATACCTGCTGAGGATAGCCTGCTGGTTGGCTATCCTCAGCTGTAGGCCCCCAGCAGCATACACTTTCCTGCCAAAGAGGTCTATACGTTTGGCCTCCTTAGCCTTGGGGGCTGGTGCCTGTTGCCCTGGCGTTCTTTTTCATTTACCGCTGAGACCACCAAGGAGCATGGGTGTGGGTGAGAGAATAAAAACTCGTATCCCTTGTAGGGGACAAAGTATTTTCTCTCCACACCCCTGGTGGTGGGCGGAATGGAGGCTGGAGACTGCCACAGGGTCTTGTTGTTATTCTGAATTGTTTTAATTATTGGCAGTGCCATTCTGGAAGGACCCTCTGGAGCGAGGATGTCCCCCATTGTGTCCTCTGATTTGGTTGCCTCCTCTGCCTGTATTACGGGCTATGTGGTGGAGTAGGTCCTCGTGAGCCCTGTGGTCAATGGGTGGAGGACCTGAGGCTGACACTCCTGCCACCGCCTCATCAGGCGAGGATGATGATGAGGCAATCGGGGTTACAGGGTCCTCATGGCTCTCAGCTGCTCTGGTTGTTCCTGGGCTGTGCTAGGTTCCTCTGTTGTTCCAGCCCAGTCGGGAGTGTCCTGGGCTACAGGTGGCACTGGACCCGCATCTCCCGACTGCTCTGCAGTTTGAGGGGGCAGTCTGGTGAGGGCCACTTCCGTTGCCCGAGGGACAGGTCTATTCCTCGGTGAGTGGGAGGGGTGACGTCCTGAAGCCATAGACCTGGAAGCCCTTGAAGGGGTACCCTGGGCCTGGTGGTAAGCTCAGGGGGTCCAGAAGGGCCATTGTGCGGGGGATAGCCACTGCAGCTGCCATGCTGTTTTGACGTATCTCCAGAGCTTCCCAGACCTATGCCTACTGCGCCTTGAATAAAACGATTTGGACTTGGAGTCCGAGGAACCCGAGGGTGACGACCAAGGTGGTGCTGACGACCCCTGTGCCGGTGGCCAGTGCTGTGAAGAAGAGGTTGGGGATTGGTGTCACAATGACCATGTCGAAGATGGGAACTGGCTGTCCCTCGAATGAGACTGGTGCCGCACATACGGTGCCGGGGA